AAGAATTTCGGATTAAAACGAGGAACTTTATTTATGAAAAAAATAAGAATTAATTAGGGCTGGACCAAGAAATCATCAAGCATGCCGAAAATTGCAATGATCCATATAGATCCTGTGCGAGTTTCCATAATTCAATCTTGTTCTTATTGTCACATGGTATATGAATCAATTAGCTAGATAGGTCACAAAAGAAACCTTATGGATAACATTAACTTGTGAACCAGCCACAAAGTCTTGTCCTATGATTGTGTCTTTCCAAGTAGAACAAACCAAAAAAACATGTCAACTAATAATTAGCTTCATCTGATAATTATTATGTCCCAACTATTAGATATGAAATGTTTTTCAGCTTTCAATCACATTTGTTTGAAACGCAGAGAGAATTCTACATGTTCTTGATATATACACAAACCTAATTAAGAAGAATTATTACTTATAAAAATGAAAGACTATCTATTGGGGCTTGTGTAATTATGTGAGACCCATAATAAATTAAAGACTAATTTGTTTTTTTTTTAATGAAACTTATTTAAGGGAAAATTTGCCAAAAATATAACAAAAAATTATAATTTGAAAACTAACAAAAAAACTCCAAATTTAATGGCCTACAATTTGTCACATACCCTATTTTTTCTAACTTTTTTTTGTTTTTGTTATTCATCAAAAAGACTCTATATTCAACTTAATGTGTTTTTTCTTTCTTTCTTTCAATTATTTGCCTTCCTCTTGGCTGTATTTAATTTGGCAATAAAACAGGAGTGGTTTAATTAAGACTTTGTTAATTTGGAATCCTATGGTATCACACGGAATGTTTTGTGTGGAATAATTCAGAGTTTGTAGTTCTGACATCTTCACACGAACTGTCCGACTTGACCAAACAAAAGCTTAAACTCCCACTTGACCATTTTGAATATACTTATTAAAAGGCTTCTGTTTAATTCCCATCACACGCACGTTTCTTGTCTCTGAAGTTTGATTGTGTCCTCTAACACATCTCTCTGATTTGCAAACTCAATTTACGAGAAAGAAGTCAAATTTGAATAATCACATATAACAACAGCAAATGCAGATGAATTTTGCGAGAAATATATATAAGTCAAATTTGAATAAGGAAATCACATAACATTCCATTAAACATCTCTGTACAATCAAATGAGCATTTCACTTTTGTCATTTAACTGAAAAAAAACAATATTATACAATTCACACAAAATTAATAATATACACCCATTTATATCAAACAAGTAAAAGCAAAATAAGATAACATTTTACCCGAAAAGGC